ACTATAGGCCCATCCACGCTTCCCACAGGTAACCTCTGTAAATATAAGGTAAACCCTAAAGGTACGTTACGCTCTCTCTCTTACTGTTATGTTGTCACTGTGCGCACACACCCCCCATTGGCTAACGCCGTTATAGTATTCTGTGCACAGTGATCTGCTTGACTCAAGGGTATCTCCTTCATAGATACCTTGGAGAGGGCACTAGATCCAAGAGAAACATACCAGCCTATTGGGCTAGACATCTCTGTCCCAAGGACAGAACATATATATATATATATATATATATATATATATATGGAAAACATATGTACCTACCCTAGACCTTATATCATATCTAAATAAGAAAAATTTAGTGCATAAAGAAAACATATTATGCAAAACAGCCTCCAAATAGAATTTAGTGCACAAAGCCCATAAATCATGTAGTTTCAGGTATCTCACGAAAAAATTTAGCAAAGAAAGTCCATAGTACATAACAGGACATGGAGCAAACCAAGATCTCAATTTTTATGCAGTTTTACATACATGTAAGCTCAAGATTTATCACTATCTAACTTGTTGAAAGTTACAGAAATTTTTGATGTCTTTATAATCCTAAACAATATCCCTACACCTTGATTCTTCTACACTTCTATGGTGATTGAGGAAGCTTTCCTTTACCCTTTTAATCCTATTGTTCTCAACAAACTCCCTTCTAAACAAATTCAAATGATAACTTCATTAATTACAATTCTTTCCTCTATCTTAAAGATCAAACAAGTTTGTTTCCCACGACATGCAGGCCCCTACACTCTTTCCAACTATCACGTTTTTGCTCCTTCGTAGTTACTCAAATTCTCTCACAAAAATAAGCAAAGATGAAATGAGACTTAGTGGAAAAATACGAGAGCGTAGCATGCTATAGTAACAGGGGCTGGTGGATGGAAAATGTCTTTAGTACTGTCATAGTAATGAAGAGTCTGTGCATCGCTTAGAAAAGTTATAACAAATTAAATCATGTGACGGTATTTATTCTATCCACTCTTTTATGGTTAATACCACCTAAGTTTCATGTTTTATTATTTTTAATAAAGAGTTCACACTCCTATAGTAGTACTAAAGATACGTTGGTAAAGGATGTACCATGTTCCCTCTCTCCCATCTCGCCTCCATGTTATTATTTTTTTTAAAACTAAACAAACTATTTTTTTCTTAGAGAAATAATAGCCTCATGTTGCATAAGAAAATTATCTTATGTTATACAGACATACACCTATAAAACTTCGTGTCAATTTTTTCTTTTCTTTTTTCTTTTTCTTTTTACATTATGGACCCCACATATTTGTGTTACCCACAAGAGAGTATTATCTTATGTAACATGAGATTAGTAAACCCTTTTTTCTTAAACATTATTAACCCTTACTTGCATTAATTAACGTAACTTTAAAGATTACAGACTGTCCCTTTAGTTTCGACTAACTAGTTATCACTAATTTATCTTCTACATACTTATTTTTTTCAAACTCCAATTAAATTATTGATTCCATTTAATTACTTCCAAATTTATTTTCTTAATTTATGTTATAAGATGTTCACGTCAAGTCAAGCCAACTTAAAGGGATGAACGTTTTTATACATGCAAAATGTGTTTTATAGCATTTCACTTCTTTATCAGCAAACTTTGACTCGTGTAAAATTATCAGCAGAATTATTACATAATTCAACAAGATCCTAGCAGTTCAAATCCTTTGCTTTGTGTCGAATATACATTCAGATTTTCTATATAAAATAAAAAATGGCTTAGAAATCAAGTGATAACACTGTCTAAGCGTGCATCAGAATTTAAGATATGAAGCCATTTATTAAGAGCAATATCAATATATGTATAGTACATAAACTTGATGCATATATTATCTTCAATAAATAATTCCTATTCATACATGTCATTTGTCAGAATTGATCAGGTATCCGGAATATATCAAGACATCGTACAACATAGCAAAAGGTAATCACAAATTGTCTGGCCATCTTCCAAATTCTGTAAACGACAGTCCAACCAAAATTGTCCAATGATATAGTCTGATTTGGTTCACCATGTCCCAGTAGGAAGCATCTAACATAGAGCTCTTAAGGGCAGCAACTTCAAAGGGAAGAAACTCTTTGAATCCTTAGTTAGCGAATTAGTATCACTGAAACAATCTAATACCAGCTAATCACTTCTCCCCAGTATCTGGCAGCAGTATAAAACAACAATTAACAAGTGACTCACAAAGACTATATAAACATTTAATGCTAAAAAGAGGGCTAATAACGATCAAAACAACAATTAGATTTAAGTTTGAAAAGAACATAGAAAGGACACAAGGCAGAGCCCTGTAAAAAGAAAATTAAAGGAAACTTTCAAATCTGACAAAAATTTGGATAAAATCTATGCAACTAATTATATTCAGCATTAGAAAAAATAAAGCTGAGGACAAGCCTTGGAACGACGGTAAAATTGCTCCTTATGACTGGAAAGTCATGGAATTGAGTATAGATAACAGTCTATTTGCAAAAATGCAAAGATAAGACTGCATATAATCAACTCCCACTCTTACCCTCTCAAATCAAGGAGTCTTGTGGACCGGGGTTTTCCCTTTATTAGAAAAAATAAGGCTATCCCACTTTCTTAAGTCCACCCCAGTTTTGAAACACAACATGATTAAAAATTATTACTATTTTCAACTTTTGATGATCCGTTTTCCTTTTGTTCAGCAAGGGGCTGTCCAAGGAACTGCTGAATTGTTCTCCAGTAGTGATCACCACCAGCCAGCCAAGTATCCATATGCATGCCAGTAGGAAATTCCACAAAGAGACACTGATTATTACGAGTAGATGCCTTGGCATAAAGCATCTGCATATGTGACGGGGGCACCATTTCATCTTGCAACCCTGACAGAAAAAGGATTGGCTGCTTGATCTGCAATTAAGATGGTAATACAATCATTCCAGCTACACATAAATAGGAGGAGACTGGATGAGAACCAAAACAATACAATGTTCCTTTCTTAAGACAAAAAAAAAAAAAAAAAAAAAAAAGATTCTAAAAGTTAGAATTAGCATCAAGCTTTAAAACTTTAGAATAAAAAGATCAGTCAACTTTCTATATATTATGATTCATGAACATTTCATGTCCTATGCCCAAGTGACCTACAAACTCTAATCAAGTATCGTATCTATTACATGAAAATGCACAACTGGATAAGAAGGCAAAACTTGTTTTTCCAATATCCCTCACCTGGCCAACAACATCAATAGTACTCCATGGAGAACGTACAAGAAAATTGAGTAGTTTAGGACCGTTTGTACAGCTGCCTCCAATAAACCACTTCAAAAAAGGTAATAAAACTCCAGCCATATCTAATATAGACGTGAAAGTATTTTCCAGTATCAGTGCCGCAACCTAAAATGAAGAATGTAGATTAAACAATTAAAGGTGCATAAACAAATCATTGCTGAGGATAAAAATAAGAGAGCATTTTTGAAACCATTTGTCAGTATCACCTGGCTACTTATAGATGGTAGTGAAGAATATGTAATTAAGCCTTACAAAAGCGCAAGAGAATAGTTAGTAAAATACTTTTGACAAAAAATTCAAAATGCCCAAGAGCATCATCTCAAGTGGCAACAGGTCCCTCTGGGAATTGTTTAGTCTACCATCCCTCTCCGCACACCAAGTCATAGACCTCTTTTATGACCCCAAAAGTAAAAAATCCAAAGCAAAGAAAGCATGCTAAAAGAAAGGGATCCCTGGATAACATAATAGCAAACAGAAGCCTTTTGTGTGGCAACCAAACAACACAGCATCAAAAGCCTTTTCCCACAAAGTGGGGTCAACTACATGAATCAAACTTCTGCTTAAATACCCAAACTGCTACAAGAGTATCATACCACCCCTACTGGGGCCCATGCTGGTATTTTCAGGACGTTTCGAAGACTGTCCAAGTTTGGTTTTTGGCCTGGAATGAAAGGTGCAGTGGCTGTGTATGTAGCAGCCTGCCCAGTTTGTCAGAGAAGCAAATACCAAGCCACTTCCCCTGCGGGTTTGCTTCAGCCATTGCCCATACCCAATGCAATTTGGGAAGACGTTAATATGGACTTCATAGTGAGGCTGCCACACTATAAAAGTTTTGACACAATTCTAGTTGTCGTTGATAGGCTGAGCGAATATGGTCAGTTTATCATGGTTAAACACCCTTTTCCAGCAAGGAACATTGCTGAAATTTTTGTATGAGAGATAGTGAGGCTTCATGGAGTGCCTCTTTCCATATTTAGTAATAGAGATCCATCTTTTTTCAGCGTGTTTTGGATGGCGATCTTCAGATTACAGGGGACGACATTGAAGTTTAGCACGGCTTACCAACTGGAGATGGATAGGCAAACAGAAGTTCTTAAGAGGACCCTAGAGACGTATCTACATTGTTTTTGTTCGGAGCAGCCCGATCTATGGGGGGATTTTCTGCCTTGGGCAGAATACTGGTACAATACCAGTGCCCAGACTACTCCTTTCGAAATTGTTTATGGCAGAACCCCTCCCACCCATACAAAGTTCATTCCAGGCATCACGTAGATAGAGGTAGTAGCTAGGGCCTAGGGGTTTAATGGACAGGGATGAAGCATTGAAGCAATTGAAATTCCACCTTACACGGGCTCAAGATCATATGACCAGGAAGGCAAACCTACACAGGTCTCCCTCTTCCATTAAAGTGGGTGACTGGGTTTATTTAAAGGTTAGACCACACAGACAGCATTCCATGCCTATTAGGGTGCATCCTAAGCTTTCATTATGGGCCATTCTTAGTGACTATACAAGTTGGTGCAGTGGCTTTTCAACTCCAATTGCCTGACCATGCTCGTACTAGTATACATCCAATTTTTCATGTTTCCTAGTTGAAACAAGCCATTGGGGACCATAAGGTGGAGGACCAATTACCTGCAGACCTGCAGTTGGACGGTGATCAGTTCATACCTGCTCGGGTGCTGGCATCCAGAATAACTGTACAACATGGGCAGGAAGTTGAGCAAATCTTAATTCAGTGGAAGGATCGTCCAGCAGAAGAAGCCTCGTGGGAAGATGTACACATGATTCTACATCAGTTTCCCTCATTCAACCTTGGGGACAAGGTTGCTACCCGCCGGGATATATTGGTACGGTACTGTTGAGATATATAGTCCCACATTTCTCCAAAAAATTAGAAAACTCAAGAGACATATATTCTTTTGCATTATCACTGCGCAAAATTTGAATAGAAACATCAAATTGAGTATTTATCTTGGCACAATTTTTGATAAATTGAAAATAATTCAGAACGATTTTTCATTAAATAAACCCAAGTGCAACGAGATAAATCATCAATAAAGGTGACAAAATACTGAAAACCCAAAACAGACATTGACTCGGACCCCAAATATCAGAATGAACAATAGAAAAAGGAGCATCAGCTCTTTTATTGACTCTATTAGCAAAGGAAGAGCGAGTGTGCTTTCCTTGCTGACAAGAATGACAGTTTAAAGACTTAAGACTGGATAAAAAGGGAACCATATGCCGAAGCTTGGAGAGGCTTGGATGACCCAGACGGCTGTGAATTAGCTCAGGAGACTCTGTGAGAGAACAAGCTACTGGAGAAGGTGGTGCAATCAGATAGTAGAGACCTCGTGACTCAATGCCCGCTCCAATCGTCTTCCCCGTACCCGAATCCTGCATAGAAAAGGATTGTTTAGAGAAGGTAACAGTACATGAAAGAGAATGAATCAACTGGCTAACAGAGATTAAATTAAAAGGAATGCATGGTATATAATAAACAGAACGCAAAGTTAAAAGGGGAGTTGGATTGGCTTCCCCAATTCCACGAGCAAGAGCCTTAGTGCCATCAGCAAGAGTGACAGAAGGTAGGTTATTAGAATAAGAAAGTGAAGTGAAGAGATCTTTATTACCACAAAGATGATGAGTAACACCTGAGTCTATTATCCAGGGTCCAAGAGATGATTGATAAAAACAAGCAACATGATTACCAGTGTCTTGAGTAGGATGCTGAGAAGAAACCTTCTTGAGAAGTGCCTCATAGTCGGCACTTGAAAGAGTTACTAATCCAGTAGAAGGTGGTGTAGCATCAGTTTGAGCAAAGTTGGCAGTCGGTGGCTTCAAATGAGGGTACTTCCTATAGCAGCGTTCTTCAAAATGCCCAAGATTCTGGCAATAATTGCAACGAGACCTCTGTCGACGGCCATGTCTGTGACCGCGTCCACTGTTCCAATTGGAATCACTGGCTCGAGAAAAGAATGGAGATGGGGTAGTACTGGAGATGATGCCAGTCGTGTTTTTGGAAGCATAACTTAAGCCCTCCATCACAAAATAAAATAAAGGAGATGACCAGATCTGAAAATAGGAGAGGAAGGCGAGCTGTTCTGTCTCGGAATGGCCGAAAGTTTTTTTTTTTGCGTGAACAATAAAACTGTACGGACGCGGTGAACAATAAAACTGTACGGACGATGAACAGTGAATATGTACGGACGCTATGGACAGTGGATCGTACGGGCTATGAACAGTAAACCTGTACAGACGCGGTGAACAGTCTTTTTTTTTTTTTTTTGAAAACCCGCATGAACAGTGTAAAACCAAGCCGGAGGGACGCACGGCGTTAGAGGAAGAAGAGAACGCCTAAGCAGTGGGCTTAGGGTTTTAGCGGAAGCGAAAAATCCCCAGAACAAAGCTCTGGTACCATGTAAAGAACCTTGGGATACACCACCCCAAAAGCTAACTCAAAGGGTGGGAGTGCCCAAGGCCTTATAAAGGCCACATTAGTTGCCCACACAATCAATGTGGGACTATATATCTCAACACGCCCCCTCACACAAGAGCTCATTGGGCTTGATGAGTGGACAATGCAACAGGCCCAGCCTACCTGTGCTAAGAAACACCACAAGAGAAAGTGGGGGGCGGCGAGGCTCTGATACCATGTAAAGAACCTTGGGATACACCACCCTAAAAGCTAGCTCAAAGGATGGGAGTGCTCAAGGTTCTTTACATGGTATCAGAGCCTCGCCGCCCCCCACTTTCTCTTGTGGTGTTTCTTAGCACAGGTAGGCTGGACCTGTTGCATTGTCCACTCATCAAGCCCAATGGGCTCTTGTGTGAGGGGGCATGTTGAGATATATGGTCTCACATTAGTTGTATGTGCAACTAATGTGGAGTTTATAAGACCTTGAGCACTCCCACCCTTTGAGCTAGCTTTTAGGGTGGTGTATCTCAAGGTTCTTTACAGGTACTAATGAAGAGAGGGGATAATTCAGGAAAACCAAGGACTTGGAAGGTGTACCACAGGAGATTGAAGAGTTAGTTAGTTAGTTTGTAAAGTCAATTCTAGTGGGGGTGCTATATAATGTAATGACTTCACTGTTGTGGGGGGTCAAGACTTTACATTCGGAGAGAGTAGAACAGAGAGAGTTCAGTTGTAGTGGGGGCATATTGCCTGTAGAAAGAGGAGTTCTACTTTGTAATTCTTGCCAACCAAAGATCGATAAAGACTCCGTTTTCTGTTCTTTCATCTGAGTATCTTCCTTTCAATAATTTTCTTGACCCATGGCTGTATCACAAACATCACCATTATATTTCGTCAAGAACCAAGTCTTCGGAGCAGCAATTAGATATAAATCCTTTTCGTATTGTATGGCAACTAAAATATAAATAACTAAATCAATACTCCTGTGCAGAACAGTATTGGACAAGATTGGTCCAAAAAGTTCAATATTATTTTTCCATGTAACACTGATAATCATGGAGTTATGAATCTATCTATAACAAAAGAAACTCAGCAATGATTCTTTGGAGTAACATTATAAAATTTTATTTATTTCCCCCCCTTCTTTTCCCACAATCTTTTCTTGCTTTTTATTTGGGTTTATCGACTACCGACCCCAACTAGTTTGGGATAAAGGAGTTGTTAGTGTTGATGTTGATGTTGATGTTTATGCCATCTCTTGTGAACTTAGCAGGCTATGAAGTACATAGAAATCCAGGGTGTCAACAAAAATCCAAATCTCTATCAATTGTAACCGAGACATTCCACAGCCAAAAAGTAAAAACCCATCAATCCTGAGTTAGTATACTTGATGTGATACATCAAGAGATAAGTGCAAAGTTTAATAAGGGAGTACCTTGTCAGGGTTATTTTTTGTTAGTACAGCTCCAACTGCTCCCCCAAGTGACCGTCCAAATACGACTATTCTTGATGTGTCAATGTCGGACCTTTGACAAAGATGATCCAATGCAGCCTGGCCAGGAGACAACAAATTGGGAAAATTTTCGGAGTAAGAATCTTTTGACAACCAAAATAAGGGAATTAAGGCACACCTGAGCATCCTTAGTAATTCCGTGCTGAGAAGGAAAGCCATCACTTGCTCCATAACTGCTTAATTGAATGATATATATTAATGCCAATTGGGTCCAAAGGTGGTTGACATGTGGATTTTTAAAGACAAGACTCTGTGGACACAGAACTATATAGAAAAACTAACATTAATGTATGACATACCCTCGGTAAGAAAGCATGAAAACATTGCATTGTAACTGCTGCAACATTATGCGCATCATCTCCAGCCGATGAGCAATATCTAAAAGTCAGTAGTCAAGGCCTTTGAAAGCAAATTGAACAAGGTGAAGTAAATAAATAATAAATAATATTTAGCTTAACTCCAATCTTTTTAAACCAGGATACTTCCAGCATTTTCTTGAAAAAACAAAATGGTAGGACCTGCCAGATGGAACATGAAAAAAAAGACCACCATTATACCCACATCTAAGTTACAGAAAAGCACTGAACATAAAGAGAACATATCAAATGTGCACAAGCATGCACCATAAATACAATAAGACTTAAACAGCAACCATAACTAAGATTTTGTACTGTCAAATGCTAAGGCTTGATTCAACCATTTGATGTTTAGAACACTACTATCTGCTTATTATTCTATTATTTAAAAAAATAAAAAATAAAAATAAAACTCAGGAAAGGAAATAAAAAAGCATAACATTTGTGTTCGTCTAACATCTACTCGACACATACTGCACGAGATAAATAAATTCTACTCACACTTAAGACCAATCCATTCACAACCAACATCATGGCTCATTCAATCAGTATAAAATAATAACCTTCCTCCTTTTCAACCTATATCTTTCCCAAGCCAATTCTTCAGTTCAAGCAACAAAGAAGTAACGATTAATCTCCTAACCCAAAACCCAGCTTAACACCTAGAAACTAAAAGAGAAACATGAAACAGAAGGTAAAGCAAAACATTCACCAAATCAAAAACTACAACAAAATCAACTACCGAGCTTTTTCAAACTGCAGCGCAGAATCTCTCTCTTGTCTTTGCAAGCACACAATTCAAGGTACAAGGACAAAAATTGAAACCAACCCAATTGTAAAATCAGGAAGTTAACCCCAATTCAAGGCCAAAGGACATAAATTGAAACCAACCCAATTGTGAAATCTCAACAGGGAACAACACCCATCATCGCAAATCAACCGAATCAAGAAATTCAAACAAAACCCAGTTTCCAGATTGAGAAAAGGAATGAAATTGAAGGTGACCTTGGCAATGGGGGAAGAGCTTGATGAACCAAGCGTGAAGGCGAACACCATCAGAGGAAGTGAGCCAAACATCCTCGTAATTGAGCCTAAGGCGTGCTGGTGTGAAAGCGTAGGACTTGGTGAGACCTGGCAACACAGGCACGTACACAAGCTTCTCTTGAAAAGCCACCAATAATGCTATTCCCGTCACCACCAACCCTCCAACGCCATACACCAACGCGCTAACATACCAAACCATATTCTTGTCTTGTCTTTGAACTTTGCTTTGGTTCTTGTTTGTTAATGTTAATGTTTCGGTGTAATTGTGATTTGGAATTCGAAATTATTGGTAATGCAGTTAGTGTGTGTGTGTGTGTGAAACTGTGTATAGTTTGCGTGAAGTCGAAAAGTGGAGGGAGGGAGAGAAAATGCGTGGCTTCAAGTTTCAGGCTGATTCTCGGAAACGCCAAACCAGTTTTATCGATGCTGCCGATAAAATTAAGGATACGTAATATTTTTTTCATCTTAAGGGGTTTATTAATCTTGTGTAATTGGAGAGAAGACAAATAAAAATAAAAATAAAATAGTCTACTGTTTTTTTAAGTCAATAGGAGGAATATATTATTTTATGTGCGATAAGACTAATAAAATCATATAAGAAATGGAAAAAATATTTTTAAAGTTAATGCAGATAAGTTATCTGTATTTATTTTCAAAACGATATCGTTCTTCTGGTATTAAAATCTTAAAAAATTATAAATATAAATATTATTATAACTCTGAAATAAATTAAAATTATAAAAATACCATGATTTTCGCTTCAAAATGACGTTCTATTAGGCTTATTGCATATAACTTTTTTGCATTTATCTGCAGTAACTGCAGAAGCGAACCCATAAGAAATTATAAAATAAGAAGGGTTATACTTACAATCTTTTTTTTTTACAACCTCTTACAACTATGTCTTAACACTGTTGATTTCGTCAATCAACAATTATCCTTTATTGTGAATTAATAATTAATTAATGAGTTTCATTTGCGAAAATCATAATCGTTGATTGGCAGAAATCAACGGTGTTAAGATATGGTTGTAAGAGGTTATAAAAAAAATTGTAAATATAACCTTCCTCTTATAAAATTAATATAATAAGAGTAAATACTTTTTTTGGTCTTCAGCAAATTTTACGATGCCCGTTTTAGTCCCTAGCAAATAAAAAGGCCCATCGTGGTCCCTAAGAAATACAAATGAACCCATTTTAGTCCTTTTGAGGACTAATATGGGCCTTTTTTGAAATTGTGAGGGACCACGATTTCAACTAAATTGGTCCATTTAGGATTTCTTAGGGATCACAATGGGTCTTTTTATTTGCTAGGGACTAAATCGGGCATCGTAAAATTTGCTGAGGACGAAAAATGGTATTTACTCATATAATAAAAGGTTTTTGAATTTGCTAACAAATTTTTGAATAAACGCATGCCTAAATTTTTTAGTTTTTGGGGAAAAAATATTTTTTTAAATATTCTTCTAGTTATGAATATAACTTTCATATTCAAGAGATGAATATTACAATTTTTTACAAAAGATCCCTTTCTGTTTTTAGATTAACATTTCATACAAACTAGATCTATAAAAAGTTAATTAATATTTTCAAGCAATCTATAATATACGATATAATATAATGATATAATTTATACTAGCACATATTTTGAATTAAAGAAACAACTAAAGTGCTAAAAATAAAAGGTGAGAATTTGAGAAAAATACAAACTCGATTTATTTTAATTCAACCATCACCACTTGTGACCTATGTCCAGACTGCAAGTCGATCAACAATTCTCTATAATTTCATGGGTATTTGACAAACCGCTACAATCACCAACTTCACATGTGCCTAATTTTGTTCCTATTTCAAGAAATACTGCTAAGAGTGATCTCCTAAATGATTACAAGAAAGAAGGAGAAGCTGAAGCAAACAATGGCTAGCACTCCTACTAGCATTTGCTTAACTTCCAAATTATAGACATCTTGTACAACCAAAGGTTACTTATGTTTGTAAGCACACTTTATTGATACAAATTGGAAGTTAAATAGAAAAATGCTCAACTTCTCTCATATGCCTCCTCCTCCTCACATCGGATTTGAATTGTCTAAAAAAATACTTGATTTTTTAAAGGAATGAGAAATAGAGAATAAGGTTTTTAGCCTTACTTTGGATAATGCATCTACCAATGACAATATGATTGGTCATATTTTAAAAAGTCAACTTATTTTGCAGAACATGTTGTTATGTGATGGAGAATTTTTTTCATCTGCGTTGTTCTACACGCTTTTTGAATATAATTGTGCAAGAAGGGTTGAAAGTAGCTAGTGATGCCTTGATGAAGATTAGAGAGAGTGTCAAATATGTTAAGGGCTCATAAGGTAAATCAAAAAAAATTAAGGAATGCATTGACCAAATTGGAGATGTTAACATTTCAATTAGTCTGCGTTTAGATGTTCCTACTAGATAGAACTCTACTTGTTTGATGCTCCAAAGTGCTCTTGGTTTCCAACGCGTGTTTGCATGTCTTCAATTAATTGGTAGAAATTATAAATTTTGTCCATACGCTGAAGAATGGAAAATAGGAGAAAAACTTTGTATTTTCTTGAAGCCATTTTATGATATTACCACCTTGATTTCTGACACATCGTATCCTACTTCCAACATGTATTTTGAGCAAGTTTGAAAAATCCAATGCATTATAATTCATCATTTGAATGATGAAGATGAGCTTTTAAAGACTATGGCTTAAAACATGTTGTTGAAGTTTGAGAAATATTGGGATGAATGTAGCGTTCAACTTGCATTTGGATTGGTACTTGATCCACGGATGAAGTTAGATTCATTGAAATTTTGTTATTCACAAGTTGATTCTTCTATAGCTATTCAAAAGGTATAGCAAACAAGAAGAAATTTGTACTTTCTCTATGAGAAGTATGCAAGTGATAATTCTTCTACTTCCACTGATTAAAGTGATACTACGTCTCGGTCATCAAGTGGGTCAAGGTCAAGGAATATGAAATGGGAACTGCCATTGTTTGGTGTAAGTTTATGTAGTTTAATTACTTTAAATTATGTCCTTTTGTAAGCATAATCTTACTTTTATTTTCTTTTTTCATGTTACAAAATTTGAAAATGCTCAATCATCAACTTACAACAAAAACCTGAAGGTCTCAGCTTGACATTTATTTGGAAGAAACAACATTTTGTTTTGAATATTATGAACATTTGGATGTATTGCAATAGTGGAAAGAAAATATCAAACGCTTTCTGGATCTATCGTTAATGGCTATTGACTTGTTGAGCATTTTTATCACCATTGTGGCATCTGGGTTTGTATTTAGCATTGGAGCATGTGTCCTTAACAAATATAAAAGTAGTCTCTTGCCCAAATATGTTGAAGCTTTTATTTGCTCCGCAATTGGTTAAATGGTTTTGTTCCCAATGGTAATTTATTTAAATTGAATGTACTTACTATATTATTTTCAACCATAATTTTTTGTTAATATGATTATTTTCTTTTTTAAATTGTGATTTGTAGATGAAGATGTTGATGATGAAGATGAAAGTTTAAGTGTGGCATCTAATGATGAACATGATGGTGCATTGTGATTGTGCTACAAGTTTGAGTGTTTTTTTATTTATGCTTTTAGTGGAATTGTGAGGTTAGTATTTTGCTTCTTAGTGCGATTAGTATTTTTATATTAGAATTGTCATATTTTGTTCATGAAATCAATGTAAAAGATGGGCCAAAAGTGCAGCTATGGGGGATTTTCTAATGAACAATGTTGTCAACAGTGGTATTTTACTATAACTAATTATTGATCTTGCGTAGAAGTTTGTACAAATAATAATAATTTTTTAAATCTATCAGAAAAATCTCAAGACATAGGCGGGTTGGCAGGGCGAGGCGATGCAAGTTGAGTTTCTCAACCCACTTTCAAAAGTGGAGCAGGGCGAGTTGACTCATTTTTAGTCGGGTTAATGGCGAGGCAAGGCGAGTTGTCTGCTTTGCCACCTCTACGTTACAACTTCCAACAAATTTACGAGTATTTGGCAACCTTCTCAAATTTTCTCAAACTTTCCTAGGTGTGGGCTACCTTTCAAAGACTAAGTCACACTACCCTTTAACTCAAGAATACAAAGGAATGAGTTCATAATTGAATAAATACTCTCATAGTGTAGATAATACAAATTAAAGTACTATGAATATATAATTTATGACAAGATGATCTCAAAGGATCAAATATGAGTTATGTAAGTGTATAATCAATGAAATCTGTAAAAACCTGCACCGTTAAATTAGGAATTTAATTAATTTAATTATGAGTTAAGAGATAAATTTCATAATTAACCTTGAATAATTATGAGAGAGCTTAAATAATTATAGTAATTGATTAATAATGCTAAAAGTCGCTTTTATGACGAAAAGTGCATATACTGATTCTGCTTCACAGTATAAGTGCGTACCGATGAAGTATCCCGGAAAATTATGAAAAATATGTATATATCACTAGAATAATATCTAGGACTAGTATAACAAGTTTGGAGTCAAAATAATGAGAACTGGCGTAAGGACTGATACTGGTTACGTAAAAGCGCGTACCAGCAAAGTGCTGCGAAAATTATAATAAAAATATGAAAAATCCTAGAAAAATGGCTAGGTTCAGAATCTAAAGTTTGGGATTAAAATGATAAGCGGAGCTATTAGTGCTAACATTGTGTGTTAAAACTTAAACGGACTATAAATACACATTTTGCACAAAACCCTATACCATAATCAGATGCTACGTGAGGTTTCCTTGTGGCTGATCATCTCTCCACTATTCCATTGCCTCCCTCTCTAGAAAAAAACACCAAGAGACCACCTTTCTCCTTGGATTTCTTCCTTATTCTTGTAAACACCTTGTGGCTTGTGTTGGGTGAGTGAGAGGTTCATATTTCTGAGTGATGGCTACTGTGTGAGGAAGTTTTAGGGACTGACTCTTTGGTAGGAGTTGCAGGAACCATTTCCTTGAGTGTTGAAGCTTCAAGGAGTGATCTTTAAAGAGAAAGAACCATTCTTGGTGTGCCATTTTCGTGGACCTTGAAGTCAGAACCTTGTTGCTGGTTTGAGAGCTCCAAGAGCACTCTCATTTTCTGTTTTGAGATTTGGGGTATGTTCCTCACCTTTGATCATGAGTTTCCTTTGTTAAAGATCAAGTCTTGGCATAAAAAATGATAGGTTAAGTAGTTAACACCATCACTGAACTAAATGGGTTGAAAAATACATGTTTTAACGTTTAAAAGTGTTAAAAACGAAACCTTGGAAGTGATATCTCGCAAAATGCAGAAACTACATTCTGCCATGAAATATCCGGATATGATATCCAGAAATTGATATCCAAATATGGGACTTGTGATATCCGGA